GGGTTGGAAATGAAGAGGGAGAGTCACAGAGGCCAGGGGAGGTAGGACATGAGCGAGGCAGGATAAAGTTTTCTGAAGGGTGGTGGGTGCAGAGGCCTAATTGTGGGGATCCAGAGGTGGGTAATGGCCACTTGTTTGATTAATGTGGCACCCAGAGATGGAAGGGACACTAGCTGATGGGCCAACAGGCAGCAAGGATGCGCGCCGTGCATGTTTGAGACCTGGGTGAGGAAGCCAGTGGGAGGGGGAGGAGGCGCCACCCTCAGACCGAGCATGTGAGATATGGTGGGCAGGACGGTGTTCTGATGAGACAATGGCATGGACACCCCACACTGGTTCCTGTGCCAGTTCAGCTGTGCCCACACTCAGCCTTCTTTGGACCAGGTCTGTGGATGCTTTGCTACTGTTTCTGTGACTCAGGGGGCTTCCATGTCCCCTCTGCCACTCTGAATACTCTTCAGCTGGTGACCAGCTTGTTTGGTTCTCATCACCATGCCGTGTGTTTGTTTTCAAAGGTGACATTCTCAGTAGTAAATCATTTACTTTTTAAAATATGTTTCCTTTTTCCGCAAAAAAGGGGGGAAGTGAATTTAAAAAAAGATAAGAATATTTCATTCTGACACATGGCTCTATAAACTGGCAAAATTGCCTGCCTCAAGAGGGTCCTTAGTATCTTGAAGACATTATGCCAAGTGAAAGAAGGCAGCTGTGAAAAAACAAATACTGTGTGCTTCCCCTTATATGAGGTATTGTGCTAGTTCGTGCTGCTGTAACAAAAATACCATGGATGGCGGCTTACATAACAGACGTTCATTTCTCACGTTTCTCGAAGGTGGAAGTCCAAGATCAAGGTGTCAGCAGAAGGGGTAAGGGCTTGCTTCCCGGTTGAGTTTCCTCAAGGCAGGAGAAACCCTGTGCCCTCCTGCACGGGAAATCATGACCTTGGAATTGACATGCGCAGTTGCGCTTTGCTCTGCATGTGCTTCCCCCACTAGCAATGTAACACGTGAGGTTTTATGTTTCAAAATTATGTAAGCTAAGTATACAATTCATTATAGTAAGTTAACTTATAATTTAAGATGATATGATTATTCACATTAATGCCATTTAATTCTGTTGGGTGTATCATTTTGCCTCTTGCTTTTTTCCCTCATTACATTTTAGTGACTTATTCTTACTGAGGCACGTGGATCGGGTCCCTGCACTGTAACTAGTGTGTGTTGTTGATTATTCTGGCAGAAATACAACATGTTATCCCATCTCCTGTTGGTGAAGAGCTCATCTCCAGCTTCTGACTCCACAAACAGTGGACAACGGCAGGTTCTAGCAAGTCATTAGGTAGATGCCTGGGGGGGGGATGTGGAATTGTGTGTCCCATGGGGACCTTCAACTTTTCTAGTCCTTGCCAAGTTGCTCTCTGAAACCTCGGACCCAATTTTCATCCCATCAGCAACATATGTCAGTTCTAATTTCTCTACTTCCTACCCCAACACTTTGAATATCAATCTTTTCGTTCTTGCTCATCCGGTGGTTGTGACAGGGGCACCACATTGTGCCTTCCCAATGTGTTTTCTCCATACCTCAAATATTCATGGGCCATTTGAGGGTCCTCTTCCGTTACTTTCTTTTTATGTCCTTTGCCCAGACATCTATTGTTCTTTTTTTTGTTGTTGACTGATAGGTTATATTAAATTATGGGAGACTTGGCGTCCATAGCTCAGTGGTTAGGGCGCCGGCCACATACACCGAGGCAGGTGGGTTTGAACCTGGCCCAGGCCTGCTAAAACAACGAAAACTACAACAAAAAAAGTAGCTGGGTGTTGTGGCAGGCGCCTGTAGTCCCAGCTACTTGGGAGGTTGAGGCAAGAGAATCTCTTAAGCCCAAAAGTTAGAGGTTGCTGTTAGCTGTGATGCCACAGCACTCTACTGAAGGTAACATAATGAGACTTTGTCTCTAAATAAATAAATGAATACATATATACACATGCAAATAATGGGATATAGGTCAGGCACAGTGGCTCACTGTGGGAGACCAAGGTGAGAGGATTGCTGGAGTTGAAGACCAGCCTGAGCAAGAGCAAGATCACATCTCTACTAAAAATAGGAAAAAAAAAAAAAAAA